AGGCAAAGTAGAGATTCATTCAATGATTTCTATGATATTTGAAGATGAATAAGTTGGATCAAGGTGAAATTTGGCATAGTATTAGTAGACTTGAAGATCAAGCTATATACTAATTTTGAGTTGAAGTTAATGGTTGGAGAAGGAAAAATCACTACTTGAATATCTACATCAACTTTCAAGTTGGCAGCCAAGTGATATTAGTACAATTTTTGGACTTTTTCTTACAATTTGTATGTTGGATTGAACAAAAAGTTTCTAAGCATATGAAAGACTTATAGTAGCATTGTCATGAAATTTTTTGTATTGAATGAACGATTAAATTAGGAGTTATAACTTATCAAAGCTTACTAACTAGAATTATACCTTACAAAGAAAAATCAAAATTATCCAATTTTGAAAGTAATAAGGCAATTGGAATTTATGTATAATTGAGGTTACAAAGAAGAGTGTTTTTAAATACTTTTTATTGACTTTAAGTACTTTTGAATTGAAATTTGAATTACATTCTTTTTATATGGATAAAACCTATTAAAGTTTCTTGGATATTTGTTAAACACAACTTTACCTTCTACAACCAAGTCCTCGATGCATTCTCAAACAAGACAATATATATTACAATAATGGTAATTCTTAATTTTTTTAACATTTAAATAATGTTCCACCTTATAAGAAGTAACATGACTTTGCGCAAATATTGAAGTAGCTATAATCATCTCTATATCTTCACTTCTTGCCAATCTTATTATTCCTTGTGGAAGTAAATTTAATTGATATATTGCAAGTATTAAATCTTTTAATTTTTCTTATAACTGTGCCATTGTATTCTTCGTTTCAAAAATCTTTGCTATAATAAAAATAAATAAATAATAAATAATAAATAATAATAATTTAATATTTCTCAAGACAAACAAAACATTTTATAGGATTTCTAACATGAGTCCAATTTATAAGGCATGTGTCTTAACTTGCAAGGCAAGTTTCTTATATGTACATCACTTGGTTAGATTGTATCATAAGCTATTAGTATGTGTAACAAGTGATTAACTTATTAGCCAAGTGTTCAACCTATCAATCACTTATAAATACTTATAAAGGTGAAATCATATCTATAAAACTTCTAAGAAGCTTCACTATAAGATATTATTAAATTTACTTATTTTTACATACTTTTATTTTTTATATTATTTAAATAATTATTAGAATAAATATGTATATTTGTGACTCAAAGAATTTCAATTGATGCAATGGTATCAAATTTCTTTTGCAAATATTAAAATTATACATCATAGAATGGAATGGAAAATAATATTGGATGTAAAAAAGCATCCAATGTAGCTTATATTTTAACAATTTCTAAAATAAATATTTACTACTATCTAAATTTAAATGCATCCATTTTATTATTACTCTTAATAGTAATAATCAACTTCATTTGTTTCTTGATAGTAAAGTTTATATATGAAAGCTTAGATTTAATAAAGTCCTTGTACATCTCAATAATCTTGTTGTAATTCACCACTCTAGTATTGGTGAAGTTCCAAATTCTTATTAAATTGTGATTTGCCATTTCAATTGAAATTAATAGCTAGTTATTTAGGATTGTCATGTTCTTGGAGATGTTCACCATCTTCTAGTTTCTCACATTCTTTGAAATGAAGTTATGTGGAATTTGGAAGTGAGAGGAAATAGATATACATTATTCTGCCAACCATTTAAAATGGATTGTAGTAAGATACAAATAATTGATGACGTAAGTTGAGCAATACAAAATAACAATATAACTTCAAGTACATAAGACTAAGATGTATATATCATTGAAATAAAGAAATCAAGAAAAAAAAATTATTTGGAATCAATTCAAATGACATGCTTAAAAACTTTAGAGAGAAGATTATTTAGGCATCAACATTTCTTTAATTTTCTCTAATATTATTTTTTAGCCTCAATTCTAAGGCTTTTTTAGGATGAGGTTCTTTGAATGATTGTTCATCTCTATCCTATGCTATAATGTCATAATTATTTAAATAAAATTAAAATACATAAAATATCAAATAAAAAATTAGATCTATAAACCATAAATATCACAAGCAAAACATATGTTTCTTCTTTATACAACACCTTATACAATATAGTTCATGACAATTACAACTTTATATCTTGAACCAAAAATCATTACTTTCTATGCATTAATTTATGATTTATACAAAAAAAATATCTAAAAAATTCTAAAGAGAATAAGTAAATATTATTTATAAGATAATCAATGAAGAATATATACAAACTGTTGCAAGCTAAATCTCCAATAGGATGATTTTGTAACAAATCTTGAATAGAGCCAAAAAAATGATATAAATCATGAGCTTCCTTCAACATTTCTTTTAAAGCTATGAATCAAACTTCATTGTCATCTTCTTTGCTCTTCTCAATGAATTTTTTATTAAGTTATTTATATAAATTATTTTTCTAAATATAATTTTATTTTATAATTCTAAAAAAGACATGCAATTTAGAGGTTGAAGAAACTTAAGATATCAATAATTCTACAACTACAACAACAATTCTATAGAATTTGCATAGGCCTTCACAATAACCACCCATATGGCAAGTTTGCAATTAAAGAATGTATAATAGTGTTTCTTTGTTTGCATCAACTAGCAAGATTTATTAGGCAAAAATATCCTGCCACAAAATATAACAAAGATACTCAATTTTTAATGCATTGAGCTGATTATTTCTTGTATTTACAACCATGATGCTCATAAAATTAAAAATTAAAATAAAATATAGAAATAAATATAAAAAATGGTAAAAAAGTAATCAATGAAACAATTGAATCATTTCTAGTAATAATAATATTAGTCATCTTGAAAACTGGTTATGTGCAGGCATGGTTACAATTGATTAATACCTTATAAAAATAATCAAACCTTCACTAAGTTCTACTAGAGAGAGTTATAAAGAGACGATACAATCTACCAAGTACATGAAGAGAATTTTATTAAGCTCATGGCTCTCATGATGCCTTTGTTACATATCAAAGACACAAACTTACATGAAATAAAAAAAAATTATAAATTATTCTATAAAATTTAAGAATCATCTTCATACATAATCCTAGATTGATTAAGTGATAGATAAGCACTATCAAGTAGTCAATATATCTTGAAATTTAAATATAATTACATCATTTGGCTCAAAATGAGCATACTTTGTATATTTCAAGTTCCAAAAATCTACAATTTCTTCTAAATTCAATATCTATTGAAAAAATCTAATTTAAGCTAAGGAAAAAAATTACAAACCACAATAATCTTAGAGCCTCAGTAAACTAAAAATCCAAAAATGAATTTGTACTTTATAAAAACTTCAAAAAAATTAATAAACATATCAAATTTTTGAAGATGGATATAACATGATTCAATCATCTTCAATAATTAAACAATGGCCAATTGATTCTTAAAATAACACCACTTTCAACTATGCTAATTCGTTTTCAAAGTGTTTATATTGTCGTCGTGATGTAGTTTTGCATCACATAAGTGGCTCTACTCTTTCAAATTTATGCCGACATTGCAACAATAGATATTAGCCAATCCTCCTTTCTCTCTAGAATCAATATATAAGTATGATGATATTGCATACAAGAAGAATAATTTGCCAAACATAGCTTCATTTGCCACATTTCACTCTCATATACATGCTTTCTTTTTATACCAACTAAAAAATAAAAAAAATAAAAAAATAAAGTGACTCCATCTATTCATCATCCATACTTATAATGCAGCCAATGTCTCTCTATAATAATCATTGTCACCATTTGCTCATTACATAATTTTTTCCTAATTGCAACAATCTAAAAAAAATGCAATTTTAACCATTGTGCAAAAACACTGACTTAAGTTGATGAGCCTATAGCTTTGTCAATTACTTGCAATGGAGTGTTAGAGGTGGAGTGTTTCATGCTATCAATTCTTCACACGATGAAAAGAAGTGCAACCTTCAAGTTGTTACCAAAAGTTATTTGGTAAGTTTCTACCATGTTCTCATTATCACTCATGAAACTGTATAAATAAATACAACAAAAATGAATCAAGGGCATTGAAAACCAATATGCAAAAAATAACAAACAATAACAACTCAATTTTTGGAGATAACTATGGTCCCAACTACTTTACATTCTTCAAGTTCAAGTTTTTTTCTCAACAACCAATCAAAATGCATTTTTGTCTCTTTATCTTATATCCAAGTTGGTTTTTATTTATATATATATATATATATATATATATATGTATATAGATATATACATTCAAAAGATATATACAATTTATAGGACACATGTATATATGTTTTTGAACACATATGTAATATCACAAACAAACAAAAACAAAACAAAACAAAACAAAAATGTATAAAAACATTATTTGATTTTTCTATTGCTATTGACTTGATTTTTGAAAGTGTGCTCCTATCAATACAAAACATCCAAAAAGAAATCCAAATTTTGGAAATTGACTCCATTCCATTCAATTCTATGTTGCATAATTATTGCTCTCTAATTTCTAATAATTTATTGATTCTACTTGCAAACTTCATTTGTTAGCTAAGGTGTTATGCCAAAACTGTCTTTCATTTTCAAAAGAATTAGGTGTTCATATATATGTATATGTATATATATATATATATATTTGTTTTCGACCTAGAGTTTTGTGAAGAAACTGGGAGTTCAACTGAGAATTTAAACCCTTAACCTGCCCTGTAGAGCCAGGCAACAGAATGGTACGCACGTGAAATTTCCGTGGATAGTGGACAAGCTGTGTGCAGTACATGCTGGGAGTGAATGTTTTATATCTGAATGAACAAGTAGTTCAGTTACCAAGTGCAGTGTATATCCAAGCAACCATCATCAACAAAACCCCACTTTCTCAGACAATTCATACAGGTAATTAGAACGCATTCCAAGTTTTCAAACCAGAACAGTTCAACTTCAAACTACAGCGACGTTTGAAAGGCAATGTCAAGAAGACATTCCGAAAAATGGGTGAGTTTATTCAGCCCGTTAAGGATCGGTAAACCCCTATGCGCATTTCAGGGTAAACAATGAAAAGGACAGCCTGTGTGTAAGGATTTTCTTGATTTGCAACTCTACTAAGTACTAGGAAGGGAACCAGCCGTAGCAGGTGAAACCTCTCTCGCGAGAAGTGTAGCATTAACACTCTTGCTGGGCGGGAAACTTCAGTAATTCCATGTTTCTATTCTGAAAAAATTTGCAATCTCCTGGACTTAAAGTTGCAAAGTGCCTTGCAAAGTGGTTGTTTGCTGCTGAGAAACTTCTAGGGAGATCCTCGAGAGAACTTCCTGCCCATGAGGTACTCTAACAAACCCCACGCAGAAATGTCACAACCACTTATTTCAGTGCAAAAAGCACATTTTTGCACCGGCCTCGCCAGTGTCGATCCGTGATTGTACTTCAGAACATGGAAACGAGTTTGTTCTTCAAGGGATGAAATACAGCCCAATCAAAGAACATATAAACTAAGAAAAGGACAACTCGTGTGCATCTCCGTCATTTAGATGAGAGCCTGAATGCCGGCTTGCTGCATTTCTCTCAGTTTCCACCGCGTCTGAAACTCACCATGACTTGTCTCCTCGGGACTCTCTTGTTGCATGGCCCAGGCATAAAACACTGTGTGGATATCATCCTACAAAATAACAGGGTTGCATCAATCCTAAATTCGTGTGGAACAAGTACGAAGTACATCTATTCTAACCAAAGCGAACACGTATTACTAATAAGCACCAGGACTTACAACTAAAGAACCTCGGTTGTACTAGAACCAACCAATCTCATGATGTTTTTGTATCTCGTCAGACAGGGTTTTAAGGTGCGACCAATTGAAATTCAATAACAAAAAAAAAACAAAAACAAAAACATAAACAAAAACGTGACTTAATGAAAGATTTGACGTACTCGAGCTCCCTCAATAATATTCCCAGCTTTGTCCCGAGCGCAATGAATTTGCTGAGTTTGGAACTGTCAAAAAATGAAACAGCCAGCGACAACAGATATTAGCTGAAGCCTCCAGCCGCAAATGTAGGGAATACCTTAGAGAACAAAGGAAAGAGGATGCTGCGAATTCACGCCTCTTAAAGAATTCTACGCATGAACAACTCATAATCAAGGACTTTCCAACTAATAAACTCACAGCCGTACGCATCGTCTGTCACAAATCATATATTGTGAATACCAGTTAAGATCATGAGAATAAATACTCACATTAATTATTATGATAGGAGAATTCCCCAACAACTTTGTCTCCTTTATTTCAATGTCTGATATATGTAAAATCTGCTCAGACATACACAAACATAGACATGATATTGAAGTCATCCAGAAAGATCAAACAGAATCATGCAGGCAGAATAAGAGATCTACTTTATGCAATCATGATGCCAGCCACCATAAAAGTGCAATAAATGAATTGCTAGAAGAATAGTACCTCATTACTCAAGAAGATGCCTTGACTCTCCAATGCACTTCTCTCTGCTTGACAACGCTCCAGTACCTCCCTACAACACTTTTTTTTCAAAGTGGGTACATCACCCTGGTACAAATTTCAAAAACAAGAGCTTGAATAAGTACACAATTAAAAAAAGCAAAAGAAAGGGGCATTGCTTGGGGATTCACATAAACCATAAAACAACCTTCACCTTGAGATAAGCTCGAAGTGTAGGACGTATCTCTTCTTGCATCTCAGCAAGGAAGTCTGAAAATGTAAATGACCTGAATCAACCTCCAACACTTCAAATTAGTATTTCAACGAACTAGAATGTATGTGGCAGATACTCACATGTAGCTCGGATAAGCACTTCATCATTGTAAACTAGAAGATAACACTGCACTTATTCTGACTGCACCTTCCACATCAGGGCCCAATTATCATTGAGGGCGGTATCTGTTATCCAACACCAAAGATATACGACTTCACCACGATGCAGATCAATGCAATAGACATAGTGAGCAAGCTACGTGACAACTTACGGGTCATGACGACGGATCTCCCGCATAGCTACTGCGGTCGCAGTTTCACCAAAAAGAGACTCATTCATACTGCAGAAAACAAAACCCTCATCGTCATGTCAGATCTCCTGCCACAGAAATAAGTTCTCAAAGCCAATTCGTCTGGTTACTAAGATAAATGTACAACACTTCACCAACATGAGACATTTTTCTAGATTATTTTCTGAGAAGTAAGATAGGTACCGCAACGTAAGGGAGAGCAGAAGGGATAAACAAGAAAAATTCCACTTTTGTTGAAAAGAATCGACAAAACAATTCATATGATAGGAACAGACTTCTACATACTAAGTCTACAAACGTTAAACTCTTTCGGACTCTATTTCATCTTAGCAAATCGATGACCCTCTAAAAAATGCTAGTAATGGCATAGGTGCACATACTCTTGAATTCTGTGAACTACAGGACTGTCACTAGTCTCCCATCTTTCTCTTATGTCCTCCGCCAGCTGAGGAAACAACCAAAACAATCAATCGGAATCAAACAAGCACAACCGTCAATGTGCGTGAGCATAGTACACCAATTTATAAAAAGACCAAGGGACTTAAACCTAGAAGAGGATGACTGCCCCAAACTACACGGTCGTTTACCCTTCTCGCAACTGTCAGAATACAGTTTCTTGTAAAGAACATAACACGGCCACCCTGATTGATTGCCGTGTGCATCAATTTCAAATTCAAGTCCTAATCGCAGAACACGACCCGCCTCCCCCGCCCGGTAAGGGTAGTTATCTGATGATGGAACTTACTTCTTGACCCTTGGTGACCACCGGATGACCCGTGACCGTCTTGAATCGTTTGAAGGCTGGGTGCGACTTGGCCTGTAACAAGTCGCCTGGTCAGTACCCCGGCATTATCAAAGCGACTCTGACAAGCAGATATAATCGCGTACAGTTAGCGTCTCTCACCTTCTTTTTAAGATCCTCCCATCTTTTCTCCCACCCAGTTGTCTTCTTGACAACCGGGACTATAGAGTTGACGGTGGTATTCACAGGAGGAATGTCACGCACAGCAGAATCGTCTGGCGCAGAATATTTGGGTTTTCTCTGAGGGGATGTCCTGTTCATCTCCTCTTTCAGAAACGTATACCCTGTTCTAACAGAATCCACAAGTTTGGCTTCCCTCATCCTGTGCATAACATCTCCAGTAGATGACGCAGCATTCCGAAAAGCGTCACTAACTTTTTTAATCACAACCTGCGGAGACGGAACACTTGCGGGAAACGAAGAAGAGGGATTCTGAGAAAATTTCGATTGCGATTCTTCCGACTCCCCTGGTCTATTTGAGAAATTACAAACACTCAATGCAGAGGATGACGACGATGAGGGTACCACCTCACTCAATTGGGACAGTACTCTACCCCTGGCAATACTGTATCCCCCCATCAGACCTCTCGAAACGGAGCACGACGCCATCGAGGGCGAAGCGATGGGGAATCCATACTCACGCGACAACAACAACAGCCTTCTCGTAAGGGCTGTGGCACGAGCTCCTCCGACGCTCAAAGCCTTTGCCGTCCTTCCAGGCACCTGCTGCAGCGTCATGGCTGCAACACCAAACCCCGACTGAGGAACAACAAATCCACCGATCCAGAGGGATTTCTCACAAGGACCATCACCACGACGGCAACAAATCACGAAAGAAAACAGAGACAAAATCCAGTGCAGGTCAGGAACAATCCCGATAAAACCCTAACCCTAACTAGTCTCCTTAGGCTCAATGTGACTAAGGTCCGGAGCTGCTCAGTTACTGCCCAGGCGGAGTCTTTCCACGGGTACATGAAATATCTTGTCCTCTGTTCATATGGATACTCTAGTTGTTACAAAATTTACTGTTATTTCTCTTGTTGTATGTATTAGTGTCCATGGGTATTAGAAGCAGTTATTGTTGTATACAAATAGAAATTTCACTGGCTCTGCTTCTCTCTTGCATTCGTGAGTCTACGGATGTCCTGTGTCTTAATAAGTCCATGGTAAAACTTTCTTAATTCAATGATACAGATATATGTTACATTTTTAAAATAAGTAAATTAAAAAAAAAAAAAAAAAAAAAAAAAAAAACTATCTTAGAAATTGTTGTTAAAGTGGCAAGTATTGACAAATTATCAAAAGCATGCATTTAAAAAAAAACAAAAACAAAAAAAAATATTTTTTTTTTGTCATAAAGATGGTATGTTATAATAGTTGCAATTGATTTTGTATCTCTACTTTGCCTAATGAGTCCAAATTGATCAACACATAGTTTATAGTGCAATAATATAATACACACTGAAACATTATTAATTAAAGCCTCACTTAAATTTGCTGCTTTTCACGTATTATAATAAATGTAAGAAAATATTAAATAGGTCCAAGCTTTTACTAAATTGATCCACCCATTATGAAAAATAAATAAATAAATAAATGATCTCTAGATTCATTTCTCCATAGCTAGATTTGAAATCAATGAAAACCAACCACATTCATCATGATTATCATATTCTTCATCATGAGTAGTAAAAACATGGGTCTATTTAACATTCCCCTAAAAACACAATAAAATATTTTAAAAATATATTTCACATATGAGAGATAATTTTTATATATCTTGTTAGTCAAAATTCAAGAATTATCTATTTTAATCTACCACATATATAGGACATATAGATTGCTTCAAAAAAACCATTATAGTCTAATGTTTGTTTTATAGAGCATGCCTACATATATGAGTCTCTTGTCAAAATTAAATATGGCCAACTAAGATAGAAGAATTTCAAATCTAAATGAAAAAAATGTGTATTTATTTTTATTTTTAATTTCCAATCCAAATGTAGATGGCCATATGTAGAGATAACACATGTTTGTTTAGAACAAAATTACACCCTATCATTAAGGTGGGCTTTAACTTAAACTATTAGATTTATACACTAGTCTCTTGTCATGAATGAAAAGCATATGCAGATGACAAATATAGATTATAAGACCATACAAAGCTATTGCCAAACTAACCTTTTCATATTGCCTACACAGATCTAAAAAGACATGTGACAAGTATGCTTAATAGAAAATGTAGGATTAACAGAAAGTACATTTTTAAGCACAAGATACCTAAAGAATTAAAAAAACTAAAACATAAAGTAAGAAAGTATTCATTAAAGTATAAGTTGTCTATATAACTATTATTATTATTATTATCATTATAAGGTATCAAATACTTAGAATCTTAATTTTAACATATACTTGATTATAAAATAAAATGATAATATACATATTTATTTATTTATTTGATATAATTCATTTAAAAAATAAAAATTATAAATTATAAAAGTTATTTTCTTTGCAACTATAAAACTAAAGTGCAAAGAAGTAGCATATTAGTAATATAATATAATTGGAATGCATAATCATCCTTTGAGACTTTTATAAATATCTCCATATAACATATTTAGAAAACCATAAGTTATAGTGCATACTTCCAAAAATATTGTTAAGCAAAATACCCACCATTACCAAAAAAAAAACTTATAGATAATTAAATTTAATATATTTAGAATAAATTCAATTGATATAAATAATTATGTATTTTTAAAAATACTAAATAGATTAGAAAATCATAAAATATATTATAAGTAGTCTTTGTTTTATGTTGAATATTACAAGATTGTATAAACTATGATTAGACTAAAAAAAGTCTTTTATATAAATACACTATTTAAATTTTATGTATGTGTACAAAAAAATGTTAAAATGATCCATCCATTTATTAAATCAACCTACTCTATTGCAGGAAACAAAGGAATAAGAGGAGGAGGGGGAGGGAAGGAGGAGAGAGAGAGGGAGAGAGGCTAGGAACACGAAGTAGGAGCTGGAAACAAAGGAGGTTGAGACAAGGGCCATAATTGTAATGATGGTCTTTGGAGATAATCCATTTTTCTAGTGGTGGTTACAATAAGGTGGATTGATTTAGTAAATGGATAGGACTTTTTAACATTTTCCTATATATATACATATATTATTATTCATTTCTTATTATTATATATTTTTTTATAGAATTTTTAAATAACTTTGGAATTTGAATATTTAATATATATATATATATATATATATTTATATTTATATATGATAAAATTTGAAAACTATATTTATTTGTAGTAAAATTGCACATAATGTGTTATATCTATTATATTTAGATAATAATTTTCTAGAGATAGAATTAATTTTGTTCAATAATAGATCTTCTTGTTTTTAAAAGATGAAATCAAGAAACAACAAGAATTTTTAACCAAAGTTATTAAAAAATTGACTCAAAAAATTAAAATAACTTCAAGATTGGAGTTCAATGACTTAGTATATATAGTAGATGAATTTTTAAAACTTAGATTTGATACTATTAAAGTTTTGTAGAGTAATAACTTTTAATTCTTTAATAGATGTAATTGTATTGTTTTGAGCTACTTGAGATAGAATAATTGTTGAAGAAACTCTTGCTATCTTTATGATTTTTACTAATCATTAATGATATTAGTTGAATTAGAAAAAAAAAGTCAATGCATAACAAGGATCAATATTCTTGTATGTTTTTGTATAAAAGATAGTAATTGGTTTTTATTTATTTATTTTATTTATTTATTTATACCAATCTTACTAGAAATATAATATCACATGGATTTCTACACAAGAAGAAAATATTGAAAAAAAATATATCAATAATATAATATATGTATAATCTTTAAAGTATCTTTATCCTTTTGAGAAAATAAAATATTTTATTCTTTATTTAAAAAGATCAAAATCAAAGATCATGAATATCAGACTTGCCAAATCCTTTATAATATGAATCAAAATAGACATACAAACATAACATATGCATGTGTAAGTAAAAAATAAAAATAAAAATGTAAAAGAAATACATCATAAATCATGAATATACTCAAATGACTTATTCTCAAATGTAATAAAAATAAAAATAAATTAATTTTAAATTAATACATAAATAAAAAAACATTGATGAAATTCAAATTGGACTTCATTTGACTTCAGTTTTGGTCTTTACTTTTGCTTCCTAGCAAGAATGCATGTAAAAACTTTTTAAATATCACAAAGCTCATGCACCAAGTATTTATTTTGAAGACACTTATATTGTGGTTTTCTCCATTAAAATAACTTCTTAAATATGTTGTAGCCACATGGCATAATTACAACCATATTTAAATTTAATTTACACATAAAAACATTCTCCAATCTTTTTTTAGAATGCATCATCTGTGAAATAATGCAATTCTAAAATCCTAAACTCTACACATCCTTGCAATACATTCGTTTTATCTTTACAAGGTACTTTGCTCACAAAACCCCGAGGCATTTGAACACACACACCCAACAAAAAGTAGTCACATTTCATCAAAATGCAATCAACCACTATACTAGTTTTCCATCTCACTTCCAATGTCATCACTAGTGCTCCATTTCACTACATTCACATTTGCACACATCCTTCCACAAAATTACAATTCTCTACAACATATCCACCCGTTTTACACCCTGAAGTGTGGATGTGATGAGTGGAAAAAGCGGAAGAGTCTGGGTGTGGAATTCGTGGGATATTTATGTTGGCTCTCTCCCTTCGTCACAAGACGACCCCATGCGAAGGAAGGGCACCCGAGACCAAGCCAAAGACAAGACCACGCGAGCCCCGCTAAAGGGCAGCAGCAGCTGCGCAGCGCAAGACACGACGACACCACCCGAATCGCGCCCCCTCGCCATTCGCGGCGTTCCCCTCGGGCTCCGTCGTCGCTGCCCCTGCGACCTCCCTCGACCTGTGTCGAAGACAGCCACCCCACGATCGCATTCACATTCCCATTCCCTTTCACATTGTTGGTGGGTTCGATTTTTGCTGCTGTCCACTCTCCCGATTCAATCCCGCGCTTTGCCTGGAATTGGAAGCTTCGGGTGTTCGTCGAAGGTCGGGAGCGAGCGGCAGCCATGGCGCTGCGGCAGGCGTGGCAGAAGACAGGCAAGGCGCTGAACCGCGGGGCGATTGCGCCGGCAGTTATCGCTTTCGCTAGGCCGCTCAGCACCAGCGCGGATCCGATCGTGCTCGACATCCCTGTGCCGTTCAAGGGACACAATGTGGAGGCGCCCTCGCAGTCGGTGGAAACTTCCGCCCAGGAGCTTGTGGGTTTTTTCAAGACCATGTTTGTAATGCGGCGGATGGAGATCGCGGCCGATAGTTTGTACAAGAGCAAGTTTATTCGGGGATTTTGTCACTTGTATGATGGGCAGGAGGCTGTGTGCGTCGGGATGGAGGCGGCTTTGAACGAGAGGGATTGCATTATCACGGCTTATAGGGACCATTGCACGCATTTGGGGCGAGGCGGAAGTGTGTTGGAGGTTTTCGCGGAGCTCATGGGGCGGAAGGATGGGTGCTCTTTAGGGAAAGGTGGTTCCATGCACATGTACAACAAGAAGGGAGGGTTTTATGGTGGAAATGGAATTGTGGGTGCTCAGACGCCATTGGGTGCAGGTCTAGCGTTCGCGCAGAAGTACTTGAAGGCAGATGGGGTGACGCTTGCTATGTATGGTGATGGCGCTGCTAATCAAGGACAGCTGTTCGAGGCCATGAACATTTCTGCACTTTGGGATCTGCCAGTTATCTATGTCTGCGAGAACAATCATTGTGAGTATAATTGCTCTAAAACCCTAAATCGATGTGTTGAACATTTGGAGTTATGCGGGTAGAAATGTAGACTTCTGGCTCGAATATGTTCAATTGTCTTCTACTACCAATGCATCGTTCTCCTTGGCGTGAAATTCTGTCGGAATTAAGAATTGGCTCTGTTAATGACAGATGGAATGGGTACGGCAGAGTGGCGGTCAGCCAAGAGCCCCGAATACTACAAACGCGGTGATTACGTTCCTGGATTGAAGGTCTGTCTGATCTCTCTGGGCTGTTGATTTTCGAACCGTATGATACTTTACAGTAGGATCGTATCCTTGTCAATACCTTTTCACAGTCTTGGAAAAGCTTGATTTCTATTTTACTTTTTTCACAGATTGGAACTGTACGCTTTGAAAAGTAGAGCAACGTGTGAACAATATAAGAAGAAAAAGATTTGAATGTCGTGTTTTTTTCACGTCTAAACGCATCGACAATGCTTGTCCTTGAATCAGGTCGATGGAATGGACTGCTTGGCTGTGAAGCAGGCCGTAAAATTCGCCAAGGAGCATGCTTTGAAGAATGGTCCCATGGTAAGTTCTGCTGGAAAATTTGAAAATCATTACGTCAATGCTCGTCTTATTCTCCAGGCTTTTCTCAATGGAGTGTTACGTGCCGTCAGCTACGCACTTTGTTTTTGAGTGATTTCTGAAAGGTGTTTTGTGGAATGAAGGTTTTGGAGATGGACACTTATAGGTATCATGGTCACTCTATGTCTGACCCAGGCAGCACCTATCGAACTCGTGACGAGATCTCCGGTGTCCGACAGGTGTGCTTCCACTCCATGTTGTGAAAGTTTCTGTGCGCTGCGTTGGGGTTGCTTTCAGTTCAAAGAACTCGTTGATTTCTTTTTTGTGACTTGTGCTGAAATGACCAGACCAAGGTTCACTTATGTAATCCCTTATTCTTATGCGTATAGGAGCGTGATCCCATTGAAAGGATAAGGAAGCTGCTGGTGACTCATGAGCTTGCTTCGGTTGCGGATCTGAAGGTGAAGAACAATGTTTTTCTTCATAATTCTTATGCTTCAATTGTTGTCCTTGTTCTTTGTTTTGGGTCTTCATGTTCACAGTAATTTTCTATTAAGTTCTATGTTTTCACCAAAGTTTTGTGGTTAATGCAGGCAATTGAGAAGGAGGCTAAGAAAGAAGTTGAAGACGCTCTTGCGAAGGCCAAGGTTTGTAACTTTTGGGGGAGTGCTCTTGTGAATTAAGTTGATTTACCTGGAGTGTCTTATGTTTTTTGGGAGACACTTGTTCATTGTTGAGTTATTTTCAATAGTTAATTCGTGTTCATGCTACTGCTATGCATTGGTAACTTTAAGATAGCATATGGTCTCGCTGTTGAACGTGTTTGGTTGTCTATCTTCAGGAGAGCCCCGCGCCCGATTCAGAGGAGCTCTTCTCCCACATCTATCGGAAGAGTTACGGATCTGAGGTAATACTCTGTTCTTGCATGTTGCATGGTGCACGCAGCAAATTACTTTTGGTTTGTGTGTACCTAACATATTAATTTTTTGTCATCCTGAATCGGATCACGCTGCTGATGAGAGGCACTTCAATAGCACTGATTAGAAGCACTTATGAGTTTCTGTGAACATTTCTATAATTGAGTGAAGTTGCATTATTTTATTCCTCCCCCTAGCCCGAATAGCGTTCCCAGCATGGCAGTTGTATTACCTCTCCACGTTTGAGCGTTTTTTTTTTTTTTCATGTTGGTCATAGAGTATCTTTAGTAATTTGGAACATGTATTCGTTTAGACCTTTTTCTTTTCTTTCGACATGTTTTGCTTGGTTTCAGAGGGTGATTGATATTCACGGTTTTACGTGTACAGGCATATGGAGCTGATCGGAAGGAGGTTACTGTCAAGTTGCCTTAATTATGACAGTCTCGCACACTGGATACGCTTGAAGGTAGCGACTGCATGTCGAGTACCTGCAGTATATCATGGTAGTGATGACAAACTAGTGTCAACGCATTGGTAGATTATAGTTCATGCCTTGATTACATTGGTCAAACCAATTTTACAAGCTCTTTGATCTAGAATGGTAATATCACGGCCTTCCCTGCAAGAGCCCTCTTGTTAGATAATAACTTCGAGGTCTTTTTGCCCTCATCGAAGGAGCATGTACACTCCCTCCATGTTTTGTTGAATTGTAAAATGGTAAAGAAAAATGAGTTCACGAGATCCACTATTCTCTTGTTACTGTGGCACTTGCTTGCTCCAGCATTCACGTATGTTCAGAATTCAGTTGGCTCTTGGTTGTATTCGATGTCAAGTGGCAGCAAGTACCATGGGCAATGGCACGTTGGAATTTAAACGTGTTGAAGTGACCATAGTCAAGGTTTTAAAAGAAATTGAATAGCCGCTGCATTTGACGCTGTAACCAGAGATCAGGAAGAAAACTCGACTAAAACGGATCTTGCTCCCCTTCTTTTTTCCTCACTTCACGCATGAAATATCGCCTCCAGATGCAGAATCTTCGCATTCTGTTAAGGAATCAAAGACTCAGTTCTTATGCGGACAGTGTAGACGTAACTTTCAGCCATTTTTATGCGATTAACGACTCTTTCTTTTCATCGGTTGAAAAAATGATTTAGGAGATGCTTCGCAACTGTCTAAACAACACGCGTGGGGGGCGGGTGAGGGGACCGCCACCAACGGAGCCTTTCTGGTCTCTAGTGGTCGCGGGTGCACGATTTAAGTCCGATCGGGGACGATTGAGAACGATCGGGAGGCCATGCCAAATTAACCATCCTTCGCACGTACCGATCACATCGAATCTTAACGCCTGCTGGCCCCAGTATTACGCACAGTTTCTCGTGAAGTTTAGTCGTCTTCGTGCAGTGGTTCTTTGAACGAATCCAAGTCTTCTTACTTCTGGCAGTTGAGGTATGCTTTGATTCGGAAAGCATGGTCATGGTATCATCAGTTGCTGATGTTGGGATTGAGGCAGAGCTCTTCATTTTGAAAAGTCGCATTTGTCATGAAGTTTATTGACTTATTTGTGGAGGTTGCTGCATATTAGATAGGAGATGGGCGTTAAATTTTAGATGGCACTAGGGTTAGGGTCACAATGTGATGAATCTGGGGGGCATTCTGTTGGGGGTTTCATGTTTACTGTAGAGGTTTCGGATCGGGACACATCTTGTATCCCGTCTGGGGATTACTGTGTTTTTAGGTGCTGACGATTTCGAGTGCTGATGATTTGCAGAGCTTGAAAGATGGAGACTCTCGCGATTAGATCCGCAGTGGGTGCGATCAGGCTGACCACAACTGTAGCATCGCAAGCCTCTTTTCGGAACTGCACAGTTTCCTCGGCTTTTGTTGGCAAGAACCTTGGTTTAAAGACCTTCCTGAGCACATCGGCTGTGCCCGTTCAACAGAAGTTGCGTTGCGTACGCGCCGAAGTTGGTGCGAAGACTGTTCCTGTTGTGGCCAAGGCTGCTAACCGCAAAGCCAGCATCAAGGATGTTCCTGAATCGGAATTTCAGGGGAAGGTAGTATTTGTGCGAGCAGACTTGAATGTACCCCTTGATGATGCTCGGATCATCACCGATGATACCCGTATTCGGGCTTCCCTTCCTACTATCCAGCATCTCGTGAAGGCTGGAGCCAAGGTGGTTGTCGCCAGTCACTTGGGCCGCCCCAAGAAGGGTCCCGAGGACAAGTTCAGCCTGAAACCCGTTGCAGGCACGTGAGCTTTGGGTTTTATGTTGCAATGTCTGTATTATGTGTACTTGGTACTGAAGCGTGTGGATGGCCTTGCATTAGCTTTCGATTTCTTCTGAACTTTCTCAATACAAAACAACCGCCGGCTTCATTAGTGCTCGAGTGAGGGAATCACAGTTGTTTAATCTTCCCATTGTTCTTTGTGAGGTAATGCAGGCAGGTTGTCTAATTTGCTTGGCCAGACTGTGGAATTGGCGCCTGATAGCGTTGGTCCTGAAGTTGAATCTAAAATCGCCGCATTGAAGGTAACCACGACATATGTTTGCTGAATCACAATGTTTGATACGATTTGTTATACCGTGTGATGTGGTGATAACTTCATTTGCACAAACATAACGTCGATCAGTTGAATTACATTTCAACAATCCTGTATCATACGTGTCAGTTCCGATATAATAATGTTATTATATGATTTTTCGCGTTCAGGAAGGACAAGTGCTTCTTCTGGAGAATGTCCGTTTCTACAAGGAAGAAGAGAAAAACGATGTGGAGTTCTCTAAGAAACTCGCCAAGAACGTCGATATTTTTGTCAACGATGCTTTTGGCACCGCCCACCGTGCTCACTCTTCCACAGCAGGCATTGCTGAATTCGTTCCCAAGTCGGTAGCTGGATTTCTGCTCGAGAAAGAATTGGCATACCTATCCGGGGCCATCAAGAGCCCTGCCAAACCTTTTGTTGCCATCGTAAGTCATCAGTGCTGCGTGTGAGATTTAGCGCTGCCTGTAAAGATGTTAATCATGTTTGTATCAACTCATTGAACTCTTTTTTTTCAATGAAAAGCAGAGTTCTCGACACCAATAGTGCTGTCAACCGCGAATTCTTGAAACCACGCATGCTTGACAGATCGGGGTATGCCTCTCTGTTGCTAACGAGATCAAGTAACGTGGATCAACCGGCTGCTCACTCTCGTCTTGCCCTGCTCAGGTTGGAGGCAGCAAGGTTTCATCAAAGATTACTGTGATTGAATCTTTGATGAATGTATGTGACAAGGTCATCTTAGGAGGTGGCATGATCTTCACATTCTTTAAGGCAGATGGTAAGAGCATAGGATCCTCCCTTGTGGAGGAGGACAAGATTGGTCTGGCTAAGAACCTTGTGGCACTTGCAAAAGAGAAGGGTGTTGAGCTTATCCTTCCAGTCGATGTCTTGGTCGCTGACAAGTATGCTCCAGATGCCAATACTCAAGAATGCAGCTCCTCACACATCCCGGATGGTAGGTGGTCTACCATCGCAGTATGTGTCATTATTCCAGTGATTGTCCTCCTTCATGCTTTAGAGAAGTATGTTTAAGTCATCAAGTTGTATAGGAACTTACACACTATTAAAATCGACCACGAGTCTAACAATGTGCTGAGAGCTGGCATGATACTGTGTCTCCAGCTTTAGCTACCAGTTCGATAACATTTTTCAGTCACATTGTCATTCCGTCGTATGTTTACTACTGCAGGATGGATGGGACTTGATATTGGCCCTAAGGCAATTGAGCAATTCAAGGAAGCTTTGAAGGGTTCCAAGGTATTCGTTGATTCCTTCCTGTCTCTAGTTGTGTTGTTACTGATCTTGCTCTATGGCTTGAATTCGGAAGTCTGAGATTTAGGTCAAACTGGAGCTAGAACCATAATCCTGGAAGAGGTTTAGATGCCTGAGTTTTTTTTGCCTTCTATTACAGACTGTCTTGTGGAACGGACCCATGGGAGTATTCGAGTTCGACGCATTCGCCAAAGGTACATACGCTGTAGCTGAATCCTTGGCAGGCTTGACCAAAGAGGGTGCCATCACCATCATTGGAGGAGGTGACTCCGTGGCAGCCGTCGAGAAGGCTGGCCTAGCTGACCAAATGAGCCATGTATCTACTGGAGGAGGTGCCAGTCTCGAACTGTTGGAAGGCAAGGTGCTCCCGGGGGTCGCTGCCCTGGATGGCGCTTAAACATATGATGGGCAATATTCCGGCTTTCTGTAGCAGTAGTGTTGTCTACCATTTCAGGTGGACTGAGTGTGGTGAATATGTACATCACCACTAGTCATCTAAATTGTCATTTTTTGTTTCTTTTCTAGAATGACTTTCGTTCTGCAGTTATACTATGTGAACCATCTCAGAATTTTGTCCTGTAAAATTGTGTGCACATACTATCTGTGGAGAATGCAGTCACTTAGATGCAGATCACTGGAATTCATGTCTTCTTCACTCGGGTTTTTTGAGGAATTCGAAATTGTGCTCCACTGTTACTAGTCTATCGAACAGTATTTATCCAAATATTAGGTCTATCCAAGGATATTTTGAATAAGATAGTTTGGTTTTAGATGAACTCGTATTAGGTTTTACTTCATATCTAAATTCATCTAAACTAACAATGATGAGCTCCGTAAGTGCAAAAGCTGAAACTGCCCGTTACTTGGAGAAACTTTTTGCCTTCTGTTATGTTGAGAGGTGCATACTCTCCACTCATGATCTGAGATTTTTGTTCACAACTATGTTGACTTAGCTTTGGAAGACAATGAGTCTTTCACGAGTCAGTACAAAAACTAGACAGGAGGGAGTTGATGACGAACATACGCAAACAATTGTGGTTGTTGAGAAGCGCCTAACAATAAGGTGGATTAGGAACACTTTGACAATTGCAACAAGTCACAATATTCAATATTGTCGACCACATCGTGGAACATTTTCCCTCCACACCCCTCCAGTTCCATACTATAGCAGTTGTTCCGTTCCAAAGAATTGAATTGCAAACACAAGAATGAGCATTCTATGATCTTGTCTACAAAAAAAAAGAATTGTTGAAGTTTAATGAAGCCACACTAAACACAGAAAAGCAACACAAAATGTCACTACTACTACCACTGTGCTATCATGTTATGATTACAAAAAATAATAATTAGAAAGATGGGTGTACTAGTATAATATGAAGCACAGCATGGAAATGTTGTAAAGGCCCATGATTTGATAAAGTTTTACACACAATACCAACATAGAATGTGACTACTATTACAATTGTGCAATTCCACTCAAGTTACTGTACAATAGTCTTCAAGATGTGGTATAACAAGCTACTCATCTTTACGCTATCGAAAGCACGTCCATCTTTACGGCATTGAGGTGGCATCTTTACTCTACACAAATCGCTCACAGGAAAAGATTAGTCACTCTTTTCTACATCGACCTAAATATTACATATTTGGTTATGACGTGCATGTAGTTAGTCGAATGAACACGTTCTTCCAATAGGAATGGAGGTGGTTGACAGAGTGCACACACGGTTACGGATGAAAGAAAGAATCCTGCAGAATTTCGAAACTACCAGGGGACATTGTGAAATTACTTTAGGAGCACTTGGATGTAACTCACGACCGTAACCCACAGACGAATTGATAACAATGAGCCTTTTAAGCCGGCTAGAAAGACCAAGAATGCGAGCGAGTCAAAGCAAGCCTGTTCACATGATTGTGGATGATCACAACAAACCTGCAAGCCACTATCGGGGAAACGAAGGTGACATAAAATCATTATCGATAGATCTAATCCACCATCAAAACGGGAGACGTGTACAGAACGATACGAATTCCATACATTGCGTAAAAAGCGAGAAAGGAGGCCGTCGACAATGAGTATACTCACACAATTGCAGATGTTTGGAAGAAGCCTACAAGCCGAAACTGATGAGAAGGTGCTGAGGGAGATTGTGAATCCTTTCCTCAACACCTAAATCCAACTCACCAACATAACACCTTCCGCATCCACAATGATGATCCTTCCATGCCGTTAGTGCATTAGGCACCGTCACAATCCGAAAAGTAACATTTCCGTTGTCAGTTCCACCTCAGCTAAAGCATGTGCAGGGCTGCATGCTGCAACCAGACTAGGCTTGAGGGGATGTGTAATTCGTATGAAACCCTCACATCTGTGCTATGTGTCATAATTTGATCAGACAGTACTACCATAAACTATTACCGTCTGAATATTCAGTTGATTTAAGTTTCTTTCAGGATTGACTTCGTTATTTGTCCTCAATATAAGGGATTCTACCGTTTACTTGAGAGCGAACGGGGAAATTTCAGCATATTTCCGATGCACCGAGACTTACGGCGCAGGCCTTCACATTGTATGAGATCACAGGTGTCCTGGAAGAAAAACATAAGGTTTAACACCCAATCAACAGGTTTAGACAATCCCGTGTAACAGACGTTAGTGATTCCTTGAGCATATAGGTTCTGAATCGGGCAGCTCGTTCAGTACTACTACTGATGAGAATATACGTTTTACCCCAGTCAGACTACACAAGCAGAGTTTGAATGATACAAACGTGGGCATACGTTCTCGTCATACGTAGGGCGAGTATGACCCTTACACTACGCTCACACTTGCGATCCTGGAGTAAATCACGACTCCACCGATGTAGCACTTATTTCGATAGTGGCACTGAACTTTCCTCAAGTAAGGGTGGCGAACACCCGTTCGAGTGACCATTTCTGAAGTGAGGTGGTGTTAATATAACACCATGTAAGTAAAATGTGAATAGTCTGGCATCTAGGCACTTGTGAATTTCGTCACGGCCTTGGTACCCTCCGACACCGCGTGCTTAGCCAACTCCCCGGGCAGGATCAGGCGAACTGCGGTCTGAATCTCGCGGGATGTAATGGTGGGCTTCTTATTGTACCTCGCAAGACGGGCAGCCTCCTGCGCAAGCTTCTCGAAGATGTCATTGATGAAAGAGTTCATGATTCCCATTGCCTTGGAGGAGATACCGGTATCAGGATGCACCTATATGAGTCACGATTATGTCAGTATCAAGACGCACCCCGAAGCACAGAGACAGGTCAATAGAGCATAATTCAAGAACTCAATTTAAGTCGTTACCTGCTTCAGAACCTTGTAGATGTAGATCTTGTAGGTCTCAATGCTCTTCTTCGATTTCTTCCTCTTGGCATCGCCCTTGACATCACTTTTGATCTTCTTCTCCGCCTTCTTCACCACCGGCTTCTTCTCGGCTTTGCTCTTGCCAGCCTTCTGCTCATCAGCCTTCGGCGCCATTTCAAAACTCTCGGTAAACAGCTACCAATACAACCAGGTAATGACCCTAACGCACACAAACTACGGGAATGTGGAGGACGCTATGATGAGAGACTAAATTTCCTTTATATATAATCCTACTGACCATCGTCCAATAGGAACTCTGAATCGGGACGCAAGGGATCGAAGTTCTGGACCGTCCGATTCACATCCTACGGCAGCAGATCACATTGCTACCTCGATGGTAGGTTCGGATTCCCCGTTTGAATCGGGCTTTTTGGCGGGACGACGAATCCCTCCATTTTTCAAAGGTGAGCATACGCGCGAAACGTCACTGAAGCATATGAAGAGACTTATATCCCAGGTGGGATTATTCATATTATCAAATTAATTTTGAAATTATAGATAAAACCATTGTATTTTATACTTCATAGAATTGGGAATCTAGTATGAATCAAAATAACAGTTCATGAGCACTTGTGTGTGAGTGAATGTATACATACATGGTAAATTTACTAAGGAGAAGTGGACTGAGTTTTATGTTTTTCTTTTTTCATTTCAATAAAAGTTTGTATTCCTTTTACATGCGGTACATTTAGACAAGGCATCAGTTTTGATTTGAACCCACAGTAATTAATACTACTTTCGGCATTTTTAAGATATTGGGTTACTCCATAGTTACATATCTCAAACAAGTTTTTATTTGTAGCTTGTATTCATTAGAACATTTGAGTATATTCATTTATAAAGTTATTTAGAATTGAAAAGGTATGCACAAATTTGCATGAATATTAAATTGTGTACTGATGAAATATGGGTGCTATTTCTGATAGAATTTCACCTACCTTGCTACCTAATCAGTTTTAAATAAATTGACAAAAGAAGAAGAGTGAATGTTTCACCTCACAGCAACTTACATCTTTAAATAAAAACAGCGACCAAGCTGCATCGACTGATTATGATTTACTTATCTATTCAACCGAGAAACAATTTATGCATTAAAAAAAAAATCTAAAAAAATCTAAAAAAACGGAGTTAGAAAAAATATACATGAATGTTCGGAACTAAAAAAAAATACACCTTATGCGAATACATATTCTGTACTGTACAAACAAAAAATATAAAAATAAAGAGTAAGAAAATGCCATGGTTTGCTAAGGAGTAATAGTTTCCTTTGTGCTTTCAAATAGAATGAGTAAATTCTGAAACAACTCCATATGAACGTGGATGATGAAGCTTGTCTTCCATGAAGCGTTCGGAGGCGAGCGGAAGTTGATTTGTGCTTTTTAGGGTTAGGGTTCAAGGATATAGGGTCTTAGTTAGCATCCATCGGTGTTACTGGAGCACTGCGAAGGGGTATCGTCGTCGTCGTCGTCGTCGTCGTGATTCTCAACAACTCTATGTCCGGCATCTCGCAGTTTAGCTGCGCATTGCAGTTCGCTTTGGAGGTTTAGGGTAGAAACACCGTGTGGAACCGAGGCTGTTCCACTTTGCTGTTGTGCAGATTCTGCGTGTTGCGAGGAGGTAGCCAGAGGGGGGTGCGATGTCGATTCGGCCAGAAAGGCAAGCGCCGCCCGAGATTTTCTACAACGACACAGAAGCTAGGAAGTATACGACCTCGTCGCGAATTGTAAATATTCAGGCCAAGCTGTCGGAGCGAGCGCTGGAGCTTCTGGCGCTTCCTGACGATGGCGTGTCACGTCTGCTTCTGGACATCGGGTGCGGGTCTGGTCTGAGCGGAGAGACTTTGAGTGAGAATGGGCATCACTGGATCGGAATGGATATATCGGAGGCTATGCTGGATGTTGCGTTGGAGCGTGAGACGGAGGGAGATCTTTTGCTGAGTGATATTGGCCAGGGTATGCCTTTCCGGCCTGGCACTTTGGACGGGGCTATCAGTATCTCCGCCGTGCAGTGGCTTTGTAACGCTGATAAGTCGTGCAACAATCCGCGGTTACGGCTGAAAGCTTTCTTTGGCACCTTATATAAGTGTTTGGCGAGAGGAGCCAGGGCAGTTTTGCAAATTTACCCGGAGAGTCCGCAGCAGTTGGAGATGATCTCATCTGCAGCAATGAAATCAGGGTTTTCGGGCGGTTTAGTTGTAGATTATCCTCACAGTACCCGAGCAAAGAAATACTTTCTTGTTCTCAGTTGTGGCCCACCTAGTACGGCCACCGCGCTCCCCAGGGCCAAAGAGGGCAATGAGATGAGTGAGGATGAAGAGAGTGGCAGCGAGTGTGATGAAGATGGAGGCACTACTGTGAATGTATCTGAGAGACAACGACCTTCTAAGAAACAGAGGAAGGATAGCAAGAAGAGTGGAAAGGGTCGTTCTTGGATTTTAAAGAAGAAAGAGCAACGTAGGCATAGAGGGTACACGAATGTCCCAGATGATTCCAAATATACAGGCCGAAAAAGGAAAGCTCATTTCTGAGGTATTTTCGTTCTAATCATTTTCATGTGTACCGTACTTATGCGAACATTCTCAATACTAACTCATTCGGAGCTTCATGCCCACATTCCTCCAGTTTTTGCGGATGTATGAACTTCCTTGTCTCTATGGTGGTGCTTTATTGCAGAAATTGTTGAATCTACAGGAGCTTACATGCTTATTGTTGCGAATGGTCTCGCTCACCCTCTCTTTAACACACAAACACACATCTATATTGCTCTGTATGTTGATTTAGTTATTTTGGTTTACTCTAGCAGTCAAGAGGATACCCACGCGCATCCTTGGCGGTCGGCTTTAGCTAGATATTAGTGCGAGCTGCTCACCTTGTTGAGTGTGGATCATCTGTCCTGGAAAAATCATGCTTCGGGTAGAACCCTAGTATGGCCCTTGACAAGGAGATTTTAATGCTCCTGTCCTAATTCTCAACATGCGGGCAAGTTTTATGGTGTTGGTATTTCAGTCCATTGCTCATAGAGCAGTGTCATTGCCGTTATCATTGTACCGAGATGTGGTAATTGCGGTGAAGACAATTAAATACCTTTTCTGATTAGAACTCTGCATATAAGTTAAAATTCATCTTGCTATTGATGGTTTCTGAATTGTTTCCTTTCGTCGCAGGTTACCCTAATGAATACTGAACTATGACAAGTGTTCGTCCTTGGTGTCTATGCGAAGGTAATAAATGTAAAGAATTTTGAGTGTCATCACATTAGCTCACCAAGTTACTTGGGAATGTTGGTAACTAATTGGTGTGTGATTTTTGTTGCAAGTGATTGTAGTGATTAACACCTAGGATATGTTCTCTATTAATAGTTTATAAATTACAAGTTTTGTGGTTTATTGAAAGGTATGCTTATGTCAGCATGGGTTTTGTTTTTGTCATCTACTTGAGATATTTTTTGTTCCAATCAGAAATTTGATCAATCAAATGGTTTGAAAGATATTGAACAAAAAATATTTGATTGATTTGAAAGGTTTTGAGTGAAGGTGATATATGGTGAGTGGGTATTGTGCTGGCAGTAGCAAAACTGTGGTGGCAATCGCAATACTTTCATGAATTATTTATTTTCATCGAAAGTGTTTTAGAAATGTCAAATATGGAATGTTAATGAAATATATAAAACCTCAAACTGAACAACCATTGACTCAAAAAACAATAAACCATACAACTGACAAGGGTATGTAATATATACCTCGTTTTCAAAACAAAACATATAAAACAAAATTAATTAATTATGCAAGTCAGATATATATATATGTATATTAAAATGTAGTTAGCATAATTGTAATAGGGTGGCATAATACTAATAATTGCACACTACATTCTATAATAATTATGAAAAATCAACGAACACATTCATTAAAATCACCAATATATATTTAAAAATATATTTTGTGGGATAAGGCGAGGGTCCATAACTTTTAAATCTATACATTGGTTGAATCAAATAGTCTCATTTAGATGTAAAAAAGTCAGTCAAATTAATGTTAAGCTCATCTCACAAAAACATGAGAAATTCCGTCAAAATTTGCTAAAATTACCATTAATAATTAACAAAATAAACTTTTCCCAATGCTTCTTGTAAATATCAGAATCAAGATGTTAGGTCAACCTATTTTTACTTCTAATAAAATGTATTATTTTAAGAAAAAATAAGTCAATTTTTTTCTTGTAACGTAGAAACTTACTTACTCAAAAAAAACGTATGATAGTTGTTTATTTATTACCTAATAGACTTCTAACAGCACGGTGCTTTTAGAAAAACGCCGCGGTTCTGAATCCTCTTTCACGGCATTGGGTGCCGCTAGGCCGCGGCTATAAGCGCCGGTGTCGGTAACAGACCTCATCACCGTCGTCGTTGCCACAGGCACCTCCCAGCAGCCGTGATCAATCACGTCGAACTTCGATGCTCCTCCTGCTCCATGAACTCTCACCGAAGCCACGAATTGTCACCCTTACCACGCCCATTACGGTTCTGTAGAAAATTCCAAAACGATCTGCGATGATTCTGCCCGTGAAGCTACTTCTTTCCACCAATTGCCGAGTTTAGGTGTGAAGAAGCTCTCCTTTAGGTTCAATGATCTGTGTCTGTCGATTTGGGCGTCATCATTTTAAGATTGGGTCTGTGCAGAATGCTTAATTGCTGTTGGAGAGGTTTTGGGAATGTGTTTGCGATAAGGGAGTATGATGTAAGGGTTTGGGCTCGTTTTATAATTTTGATCGTGGGTTTTGTACAATTTAGGGTTTCGGTAGTGCGTGTTCGTGGTCGCTGTGAAGCAGTCGGTGGTGACGAGATAGCCCTGCTTTTGGGTGGTTCGAAAAGCAATGACAGGACCTGTGAAGAGAAGATTTCCGAAGTCTGCCAAGCCTGCTCCAGCTGTAACCCATGCTAGTCTTGTGAGTTGCTGTTCCTCGTCACTGCTGTGTTTGGTAATTTAGGGTGATGATGGCAGTCAGCATAACAATTGTCCAGGGGATGGAAAAGATTGGACTCCGAGGGTCGAGGACTTACTTATATCGTTTTGAAGAACGCCTCGGGGGGTCTGACAAAGATATTAGGATGCTGCTGTGGCTTTCCTGCTCGTGCCATTTCTAAGCCCTTCCACATTTTAGTGTTCAAATCCAGAGCTTAAACTGGTTGGGTGTTAAACTGGTCGGGTGGTATTAGTTTATTGAAGGTTTCCAGATGGTTTTCTTTTGTTCCTTTTTGTTGCGGTGTAATTGGTTAATATCTCTCTTATATGATGTTTGTTATAGCACTTCACTGGCCTTCAATGGCTTACACAGTTGACTCAAGCTGCAAGATAAGATCTTCTGCTTGATTTATCTGAGGGAGGTCTTTATGGTTCCTATTTGCAAATGAAGTTTGAATACCTTGATTGATGTTGATCACTTCTTGGATCTCATGACAGTTACACGCGAGGAGACCTCCACCTGCTCCTAAAGCCAGCTCAACCATTACACCAGTTGCTCCGAAAGCCAACTCAATCGCAACACCAGCTGCGCCTAATGTCAGCTCCAGCGGGTTACCAGCAGACTTCTTTGACACACCGAGTGCACCAACCTCTAAACTACCTGCGGACTTTTTTGATTCCTCGAATGCCCCAAGTGCCAAAAGAGTGTGTATTGATGGTAATTTCTGCTCGGATTTGGATAATCCTGGTCCTTTGCATCTTATTAACAAAAACGCTGTTGTGCTAGATTCTGGCGTATATCTTGAGTACGTTTGGGCTGATGATGTAAGAAATCACGAATAAGAGAAGCAATTAGATGCCCTGATTGTCGAAGGGGTATATCACGTAGTGTAGGCAACGAGAAAGTGAATTCAAGAGTGGACAATAATCCAATGAGGAAATATTAACTATTGTGTGTTTTGGAGAAACAGACAAGGTTCAAACAACAAGTAGTTCTCCAACTTTTCAGGAACCAGTTGTTCAAACGTTGCTAAATAGAGCTGTGCAACCTGCAAAACCTACACCTCCCTCTGCTGAGAATGATGCTGTCACTGGGACGGTTCCCGAAGGTTTTTTTGATAATGTTGATGCCGACCACCGTGCTAGAGGTCTAGAACCTCCCAAAGTTGACATCAAGTGAGTGTGTACTCTCTAAATCTCCTGTTTTTTTAGCAAATAGATACGATGTTTGAATTGAAAACGTCATGAACTGACCTCTCACCTCGCTTCAAGATTGACAGAAAAGTCAATATACAGGTGTATGTGTCTCTTGTAGAGCATTTGATTTCTGCATAACCGTAATGTTGTTGCTATCTCACATCCATTGTTTATTATGAAGTGGTTTTGTGCCGCCAATTGCTTATCGAACCGTTGTGACGTAGGGAGGAATACAAAGAGTTTCAGAAGAGTATAAAGGTGGATTTGGTGGCAGTCGATATTCAGCAAGAAGAAGATGAGGTTTGTTGATCTGGGAAGTCCTCAATATCGATGCGATTTTCTTTGGTGCTTAAATATTACCAGTAGCTTGACCATTAGGCTCCAACATTTCGGCTGTAATTTCGTACAGTATTCAGAGGCTTGTTCTTCATGTGTTATTTTGACAGGAAGAAGCAGCAGACATTAGAGAAGAACTCCAGGAGATTGAGCAGAGGTATCACTCATTTTCTCGTTACAAGATTATTACTCACTTATTGAGCAGCTCAGGACTTGGGATTATGTACCAGAACTGATGCCAGTTGAGCGGCAGTAAGAGTGTCATGGCCTCTTGTTGAAGCAATAATGTGTCTCATCCAAGAGGATTTGTCTTTTTTCTAATTATCAAATGCATGCTTTTTTACTGATAATCCATTATTTCTAATCTTCCAGATCTTTTATGGAGAGGGTTGAGATGCTACGGAAGGCGAAAGAAGAAAGAGTGTCAAAGGTGAAAGCAGAGAGCGTAGTGGCGTTTCCTGCTACTATGGGTGCTGACGATTACGACGAGTCTGAAGACGAGGAGGACGACGATGACATTGCCTATGACTGGAGAGCAAAAGAAATATAGAATGATGCGGTGGCATACAGAATGGAAGCATTAATCCTCAAGAAAATCTGTAATGGGTCCAGTTTTGGTAATTTTACCGACATTGTTGTTGGACACCAGCAGAGGTGACTAAAGAATAGCGTCACACGGGTATCATCGAGTTTATTTAGAACGAGGAGAGTGACACAATCCGACAATCCGCATGTTAATGTTGTAGAGAAATTGCCAAATAATTTTGAACTGGGAATTCCTTTGGATACTGTTACATCCATCGTCCCTTTATCTGAAGAATACACGTACTTTTATAGGATTTTTTCCTTTCTTAATCTTAAGTTTCAGTTAATGAGCAAAGCTTGAGCTACATATATTCTTATATTTTTGCTTCTATACAGGCATTTCTTCTCCTTTAACTGTCTATTTTTCATTATATACATGATAAAATATTTATTTTTTGAAATCCATAAAATTAATCCACTATTTGACCTAAATGCAACGATGAACAGAATTTGACGGAATCAAATGAAATAGGATATATTTAAAAAATATGACATCTTTAAAAAGTAAAATGTTTAAAATGTTCTTGGTGAAAATGCACAATGTTAGATTTATAAGAACATGTTTGTATAAGTTTTTCACAAACATCCTATATTTTAAATCTCTAACAAAAACATGTCAATATTCTTTTGATAAAAAAAAATTATAAATAAATATATAATAATATTAAAAAAATAAAATAAATATATAGATAATATAAAAAATATGTATCCAAAATTCAAAAGTGTGTCACAAACTAAAACCATAAGATTTATGTAATTATAATATATATATATATATATATATAGACTTATTAAAGCTACACCTCCTAAACCATATAATGATTAATTCAGTCCAATGTTACTCTATTCCATGCAATGTGCATCATCTTCTATGAATGTAAAGGACGACTTGTCCTTTGTATTTAAGCATCTCTTTTGCTTGAGACTCTCTTCATGAGTGTGAAGGGGGTCTCCATCAAGACTATCCAATACTCTCTTCTACTGTTGGCACTGTGACTTTAAAGGGTAAATTAGGTATTTTGGTAAAAGGAACAAGTTCACTTTGTCATAATGAAACATTCAAAAGGAGAGGTGGGCCAAGCGAGCAGAGAAAGAAAGTGTGACATCTGTATGCTAAAATCATAATAGTGCTTTTGAATAATCAAGGGTATTAATAGAGATAAGTTGTTTATTATTTAAGCACAAATATGTACTTATGAACATGAAAACTATGTGATTTCAATCTTCTCGAACTTAGTGTGTTTTTCTTCTCTTATGCATGTAATTTTTGATTATGTGGAAGTGACCAAAGATCATTACAACTAAAATTACCAAAATTGTGGAGAGTTTTTATTTATAAAGAAGAGTGCTAAACTAAGATTGAAGAGTTATTCATCTACAGGTATTCATATTTTTGTATTTCTAATGTAGTGTATATTTTCTTCTTTTCTCAAATTTTTATTATTACTATTATGTGGATTCTAGTTAGAGTAATTTAGATAAGTATTATGAGTAATATTGTTTGTGGTGGTATTAGTGAGGGGAAGAGTAAGCAAAAAAAACAAGTTAGTAGTGAAAATATTAGAAATTCCATTACAAAGATAGAAAGTACATAAGCAAGTTCTAAATCAAAATTCGAGTAGGCTTCAATTCAATTGCTCACTATACAATTATCACAAACATACATATTTATGCCAATAGTTATCTAGATAATACGAATAGGTAGAAGTATGTAAAAATAGATAAGTTTGATAATATCTTATAGAAAAGCTTTTTAGAAGTTTTATAGATATTGTTTTACCTTTATATGTGTTTAAAGATGATTAATAGGTTGAACATTTGACTAACAAAGTTAGCCACATGTTGTATGTGTTGATAGCTTGTGATATAAGTTAACCATTAGTTATATATATAGGAAACTTACCTTATAAGTTAAGACATATGTCTTTCTAATTGGACTCATATTGGAGATCCAATAGAACGTTGCCATGGAGTCATATTATGAATTGTCTTGCTTGGAAATGCAGTAGGTACCTAACTATAGAAGGTGAGGTTGTGGTTCACAAACATCCAAAAAATCCTCATAGGTTTCATCCATATGAGAAGAATATAATTCAAATTCCGATTCAAAAGTGCTAAAAAACACTCTTCTTAGTAGCCTCAATCACACATAAACCTCAATTACCTTGTTACTTTCATATTTAAGCAATTTAGATTTTTCTTATAAGCTCCAATCCTAATCAGTGAGTTTTAACAAGCTGTAACTTCCAATCTGACTATCCACTTGATGTAAAATTTTGCATGAAATTTTCAATATAAGTCTTATATACGCTCAAGAATTTTTCAGCCCAATCCAACTTATAGATTGTGAAAAAACCTCCAAAAATTGCACTGATGTCACTCGGTGGCCAACTTAAAAAGTGAAGCAAAAATCCCAGCAATGATTTGTCCTTCTCCAACTATTAACTTTGATTCAAAATTGGTGTGTAGCTTGATCTTCAAGTTTTTCAACACCATGCCAAATTTCACCTTGATCCGACTAGTAGATCTCTAGATATCATAATAACCCTACCCAACTCCAAACTGCCAACTTCCAAAACCCTCTTGTGCTAAAAACCAGATATTTCTAAACCACACTATTAGATTATTACAAAATTTTGTATACACTTAATACACCTAATAATCTAAATAGTGTCAAATTTTGAATTATAGATGTTACACCAATTGCATGAACTAGCCAAAATTGCTAGCCCTAGTTATATTATATAAAATCTAATTCACCAATACAAACCTTGATTTTGAACAACAATTGCTAATTCTTCAAAAATCCTAAAAAAAAAATTCTTATGCTCTTGAAAAGAACTTCAAGCTAGCTCTCAAAGTCTAATCTCCGATCTTTGAATGAATCCATAATTTGCCCTAAGCAGTCATTTTAGTGACCAGAGGTTTGATTTCGACCCTACATCACAAACGGTCTATCTCTAAGTATCAATCTAATCTATCCTAAGGATTTTTTAACCCAATCTTATCTTTAGCTTGATCCTAGTATCAATCATACCAACCATTTATCTCTTCTATTTTGATTTTAATAATTTATGGCCTTTCTAAGGCAATAAAAAAGTTTTTATATTTTAGAAGGTAAAAATACTAACTAATTTTTATCTAATTGCTATTAAGACAAGATAATAAGCTAAGAGGCTTTCATAAAAGCCTTATTAAAATATTTTAAATTCTTATTGAACTAATATAATAGAATATTAATTAAAAAAATCATTTTTAGTCATATTTTCACCATATAATCGTATCACAACATGACAACAGAGCTCTTCATTAAATAATATATATGGAGACAAGAATGAAGCCTTCTTCACTTTCAACTTCTTTCTTGCCCCTAGTCTAGTTTCAAGAGTCTCTAGATTTCTAGTCTTTGATAATAGCTATTCTAATTTCTTCTTGAATATACATACTTTTTTTTTATTATCATTTTATTATCTCTCTTTGATACTTATCTCATTTATTTATATATCTTCTTTGAGTTCTTTTCTTTGACAAATTGATAAGAGTATACTTATAATATCAAAGCTTTGTCTTTTTTTGATTAAGAATTTAAGATTTCTTTTCTTTTGATAAGACATAAGTATATTAAAAGTCACAGATTACCATCTTCTAAACTGATATTTTTTTTAGTATATTCTTTGATTTTAAATCTCTTCTTCTATTATCTAAAGCAATATATATATATATATATATATATATATATATATATATATATATTTTCTAATTTTATTATGGTAGAGATTGTTGAAATGAAGACTACAATGGCTTAAATACAAGAGCAATTCTGAGATTAATGCTTACAATGCATTAATTCAATTTACTACTATAGGGAACAATAAGGTTGATAAGAATTAAAGATATAGAGATGATTGGAGCTACTTCAATATTTACACCATATCATCCTACTTTTCTTATGGTGGAACATTGTTTTAGTATTAGAGAACAAAGAGTTGTCATATTCAAGAAGTTTGATGGTATAAGATCAATAGTTTAAAGATTCATTATTCAAGTATAATTGGTGATTGAACTTCTATTTTAAAGCTATTCAATTTTAAGGTTACAGATTAAGTTTATTAAAATATTATTTTTAGATTCTATATTATCATGATTTTTTAAAAATATTTTTTTAAATAATAAGATTTAATATTAGATAACTTGAAGGCATTTTTGGAAGAGTTATGATCTATTATAGAAAATATGATGTAATTCATGTTGCAACCAAGAATTTTTTTTTATTTTACAACATATTAATTGATTTGTAATATTATATGATTCATAATTTCTACAATTTATAATTGATATCAAGTAAAATGATGTTTTCCTAATTAAATAATTTTTTTATAAATTATAATATAAGATAAAGAACTTGATGCTCAACGTACATGGTCCTCAAATATTGAGTCAAATAGTTGACATTGCTGTAAAGTGTGACCATCAACTTTTTGAATTTTGATCTAAAAATTGCACAATTGGACCTGAACATTTTTACAATTGAATGGTAATACCAACATCTTTTCAATATATATAGTAAAAAATAGAAGATATGAAAATTGATGTGGTACATTTCAAACTTCTTATTAAAAATAAAAAGACTTGTTATTGCTAAGAAATATTGTGCTTGTATTGTAGAGAGCCTAAGCACATTACTCAATATTATCCAAAAAAATGATAAAATCACAAAATAAAGAATATGACTATTAAAAAAGATAAGATGTCAAATAACAAGTTTGTGGATAAAACCTTGTATAATGCGTAGTGAAGATCTTATTCTTTCTTCAAAAACTTATCTTTGATTTATAATAGATGTTAATTTAGGACCTAAATATCACAAAGCCTTTGTCTTACTATATTCAAAAGCCTTAGTTTGTTTTTTAGATAATTTTTTTATTAAAGATATATCATAATAATAATAAAGAAAATTAAATCTATTCATGTAGAAGACAAAGAAGATCATCAATCGTCTTTTAGAGATATTACTTATAAAATCTTTTTTATAGAAGTAATAATTATTGATCATAGTAGCTTTATAATATTTAATATAATTAAGTCTTTCTTTAATCAAGTCATTTTAGCTTTATCATGGCTAAAAATGTATAATCTTTGAGTAGATTAGATTTCTTATAGTTTCCACTTTTTTGAAAGTATAACTAAGAATTTTTTTCAACTGAGTAGTAAGACATAAGGTTAGTATAATTAAACTTATATATATAGGTAGAGAGTTTTTTTTACATAGTACAAAAAAAAGATTAGCTTATATTATTTATGCTACAACTATTTTTGATA